CCCTCGTGTAGCTTTGCGCGAAATTCCAAAAACAAACAAACAATTTTGTTTCTTGTGTGTGCATTGTTTATAACTTCCTTGTATCCTAAGTTATTGTCCCACATAAAACCTAACAACTCTAGTGCTTGGAGATCTATTATAAAGTGGTGCATTAAACTTTTAACTATATTTTACATAAAAAAATTCAAATATCTTGACATTGTCCAAGATAGTGATCCCCACCTAATGGTTCAGTGGTAAATTTGAAGGTTTATAATGCTAAAAATCAGGGTCCACTACCTGTAGTCGGTACTAGCACAGATCATTGTGTAGCTTTGTACTTAAAAATAGAAACAATTATAAATAACCATAAACGTGTTGGTTTTAAATTAATTTTCTATACATCAATAAGAAACCTTTCGCACTGCTTATTTTACTTGAAGATTGAAATATTTACTTACCCTTTTCTAATCAAGAATCGTGGTGGAAGGAAGATTGACAAATTTTTGTAGACTACAACTGTTGTGACTATACTATCATTCACTATAATAAAATATCAGAAATACAACCAAAATAAGTCATTGCTGAGTTTGTTTATACTTTAAAGTGAAACTAATGATCATAAAAATGACTGACAAAAATCAAAATAATCATGATGTATAAAACTGAAACCTCTGCAGTACTTTTTAATTGTTACCAGTTTTGTGATAAAGCAACAGACTTTTTTGCAAATCGATGTTAATTATTTCACACTGTCTTCATACAAAGAGTTGGCACTAAAAAAAGTTAGAAAGTAATAAATAGTTACATAAAAAATTATTTAAGTTTTAAAACCTAATGAAATAATTAAACACCTATTTAGCCTAAAAATGGTGTACAAAATTATGAAGAATATACCTATAAGAAAAAATAAAAAAAACACAAACATTCGATCCCATAATAGGACTTACGGTGATCAAAATCAGACATTAAGAAGGAGTTATAGCTGACTTCCAACTCGTCAGTTAACCAAGGATGTTTGCTAAAAATGCTCTGACTGTCTGCTTTCATTTTCTCCCTTTCCAATGTTGTAATACTGGAATCTTTCAAATTTTCAGGAAAACCAGGAAACTTCAGATTATGTTGCCCATCCTTTGTTACTCTCCCAGTTTGTAATACTTAAAAATAAATCAAGAAATGTGTTAAATTTGAATGGCAGTGTGTTAGTATCTATTGTACCATTTATGAAAGCTTAGTGTGTATCTGTTTCTATATTTATGAATAAAAGTTTGCTTTCTAGTTAAAATTCCATCTTTTCCATAGACTAACTGATAAGTTTGAATGAGCTTGGTCCTGAGTCATATTTTCATAAAAAGCATCTTAGTAGTTTAGAAAAATACACTAATTTTCACTATAACAAGGAAAATATATATATACTTGAAACACAAGACAAACACTGATAACTGTATACATTTTGGAAAGAGCTTGATTCACCAGCAGCTGAAAGTTCTATTGAAAATGCAGACCACTATACAGCTATACTAGAGCAATCTGCTACCATCCCTAATTTTCAACTACTGACTATAGGGAAAGTAGCCACTCATCAGCACCTTACAATCCACTAGCCATATTAAGGGATTGACTGTCATTCTTATGATGCACCAACAGTTTAAAGTATGGAGAATATTTTGTAAAATTACATGGATTCAAACATGGCTCATAGGCTTCAAAATCTAGCATTCTACAAAAGGGTCAACCCAAGCCCTAAATGCAGAGCAAGGATATGAACTAATTAATGTAGGTTTAAATGTTTTTTATCCAACAAAGTATTTCTTAAGAGGAATGAGACTTTATTAATATATCACAGTAAATATAAGATCACAAAAACACATAAAATATGTGCACAAATAACAACTGATATTAAGTGAACCACCTGTAATTTCGATAAAGTGATTCAGCTTATAAGGTAAACTATATAAAATTTGAAGCTAGGAATGGTCATGATCAAGTATATCAAGTTAATGTGAATGAAAAGGTACACAATATACATATATGAAAACAAAAAATTAATGTTTTTACTGTTCTCATAAAATTACTAAAAAAGGTGAAACATCACAAACAATAAATTATTTTACTGTAAATATATTAGAGCAGGCCTCATCAAATATTTTCAGATCTAGGAGCCAGTAGTGCCTAACCTTTGTACCTGGAAATGGGGGGGTAAACTCGTGTCTCAATTATCTGCACCTCCATTATCCATAATCCTCGATTATCCATGGTTTTTTTTGTTTCTCCAAATTTTCTCAAATAATTGTGCCATTATAATTATAGACCATAATTTACAGATGCTTTGGAGAAATTGCTGCTCAGAAATTAATTTCGGTTGCAAAAGTTCAGGTGTTGCATAATATCTGTGGTTTTTTGCATGCAGGATCTGGCGTGCATTCAAATCGTAAGTCAGCTTGTTCAAGCCTAGAGTTGCCTATTTTATTTTTAGCTGTTAAGACAGGAATACAAAATATTTGTAGCTTTGTTAACTTTATTTGATTAGCTTTTAAAACATAGTATAAAAAAACATACAAAATACACATTAAGATTTCTTAAAGACTTCACTCTACTTCAGTTGTTGTCCACTGTTCTATGCTGCACAGAAGGCATCTTTTAACCACAGATGCATGTTCAGGTTGTGTCGCCAAGATATGCATTGTCCTCTTCCTACAGATAATTGGTATCTTCAGTCTGTTTTAACAAAGGCATCGTAATAATTCCCAAGCATAGATTTGCACTAATTTTTTACTTATTTTTCATAGGCATTGACAGAGTGCAAATGCACTTCCGTGTTTACAGGAGAAAAAGTGTCGAAATTTAGGAGCTACTTACCCCTATTCATGTTAGCGATTAAATTCAAATAAATGGAAACGAACAATTGGACTTGTATAACTCACAGATTTCGGAGAAATCAAGCGTGACCGATTGACTGACCAACCGACACTTGGCTCTTATGATTGCAATTGTGATAACTTTTTATAATTTTTCATGATAAAGTGATTAAACAACAGTAAAAGGATTATAAGTTAATACAAGGAACTTAAATATATTGAAAATTTGTATTTAGATTAAACAATGGACTAACTAGTGAGATACACTAGTGCTTCAATTATCCACTGTTTCTGTTATCCGTGATTTTTGTTTCCCAGACCAGCACGGATAATTGAGTGTATATTTATTTACTTTCACAGCAACAAGTTTATGCTAACAATCACATGATATCAACAACCACTTGATATTATTGCCTGAACTAACTGCCTTTGGTCCTGTATGACTTTAAACATGTGCAGTGATTGGTTGAATTGAGAGAAAGAAGAAAACAAACTGGCACAAAATTAGTAATGTGTTGGACAACTGCAGTGTTTCATTCCTGAAAAACATGAAGAAGTGTTGAATCCGTCACTAAAATCTTAGACACAAAGTTTGATTTAGGACTCAAAAAATGTGAAAATAGTTCCGGACTTCCAAGGGTCCAGAACTGTTTTAGATTCAAGTTCTATTTAGCACAGCCCTAAGCATGCATGAATAAAAAAGGAGAAAATAGTAGGTACCATGATAACATTTTTAATCGCCAATGCAACCTAGTGTCTGGGATTTGATGAGGGCTACAGTAGGGTATACCTTTATCATACTAATACTTCATACCTACAAAATTGTATATCACGAATTCTTTTGTCTTCTTCTCCAGATTTTTTTTAGTTATCTTGTCAACAAAAAATGTTTCTTTCTTTATTCTTTAAAAATCAGTGAGAGAAATATAAAGCAGTTATTAACTACTTACCAAAGGCTGGTCTATCAAATATCTGGAAGGTCCCAGGGGTGGAAAAAGCACCTCTTAAAAACCCATGACTTAAAATCAATTGATGAAGTTGGATCACATACTAAAAATTTAAGAAAGGCTAACTTTTGATACTGTTTAATAGAACTTCATCAATCTTGTTGAATAAAAAAAAACAACACATTAAAAAAGCAAGAGTAATTGATATATAGTCAAATATGTTGAAGCCATCACATCTCATTGTCTAAAATATGGAAAAAATTTTTAAAAATGCATAGTTTATTATTAGACACAAATGAAAAAAAATAATTAAAAGTAGGATTAACTGGATCATTAAAATAATCATCTCTGATGTTTGGGGCATACTCGAGAAGAAGTTAACATAATGATGGTTGTATTCTACAGTGATATCATGACAGGTCTGAAGTGTTCATTACTGATATAATAAATTAACTGGATCAAGAAGGTGTTTATCAGTGTTATCCAGGTATAATATAATTAAGTAAGGATAAACTGGATTCATGTAGGTGTTTATCACATGCTGATACCCACATCAAATATAATGAATAATAAATTGGACCATGAAAATATTCATCAGTAATATCCAGGTCTGATATAAAGAAAGATGAAATGGGTTATGAAGGCTCATATCACTGATACCATGTCTTATATATGGATAAAGTGAACTATGGAAGTATTTATTTATAAAGTTTAAAAGGAATGAAGTAGGTCACAAAGGTAATCATCATTGACACTTAATTACATAGAACAAAAAAAAAAAAACAAGAACATAGAAGTATTCATGTGCATCATTACATTTTAATAGACTATGAATGAACTGAATCATAAAGCCTTCATTTTTAATGTTTTCCTGATAAAAGAGGGATGATTTTTGCATTTAAGTATTCATTGGTGATATAAAGGTATCATTTAATATTCAAAGAGTATTCATATATTGATTTGTTAATTAATAGCTTGTGTTAAACAATTTTGAGACTGAGAAGTCAAACTTAAGAGAAGATGTGTGAGTATTTTGAAGCAGGAATAAATTCTAAATCATACTGATGTATGCTACTTTAAGCCCATAAATGTACTGTCAGTAAGTTAATAATATTGTTGCGTCATCGAGGTCACGTGACTGGTGTGGCGCCACCTATTTTCTAGAACTATCC